TTGTAGAAATAGTAATTAGTTGCACGACTTGTCATTTAGTAAGTGTATACAAAAATAATATTTAATATGCATGCCAATTTTTCTTTATATTAAAAGTACCTTCGGATTTTTGTAACTTAACTTTAATAAACTGTGGAGTTATAATGAAAACCGAAATGCCTTTTATTAAATTTATCTAAGAATTTTCTTCCTAATTTCACAGTTGACTGTCCTCATCCTAATTGCTCGGGGCACGGTTTTTGCATCGAAGGAACTTGTTTTTGTAAAAAGGGTTGGAAAGGTAACGACTGTAGTGAAACTGATAAAGAGGCTCTCCAGTGTCTTCCTGATTGTTCGGGTCATGGAACATTTGACTTGGAAACTCAAACTTGTACATGTGAAGAGAGGTGGTCCGGTGACGACTGTTCCAAAGGTACCTTTAAAATTCTCAAATGTCTAATATAAATGTTTTTTTTTTTACTTCTCCATTTTTTTAGAATTATGCGATTTAGATTGTGGTTCACATGGCCGATGTATTTCGGACACTTGCCATTGTAGCCCAGGTTGGACAGGAGAATATTGCAATTTGAAGGAATGCGACACGAGATGCAATGACCATGGGCAATGTAAAAATGGCACTTGCCTTTGTGTCACCGGTTGGAACGGCAAACATTGCACCCTTGAAGGGTGTCCCAACAGTTGTTCTAACCACGGTCAATGTAAGTACAACAGCGAAGGCTCATGGGAATGTCGCTGCGAAAACGGATGGGATGGAGAGGACTGCAGTGTTTTATTAGAGCGGGACTGTGATGATGGTAGAGATAATGATAAAGGTCAAATAATTTTTATATTAATTCAGAGCATGAAGTGTGTTAACTTTTTTTTTATTGTTATTCATAGATGGTTTAGTTGACTGCGAAGATCCGGAGTGTTGTACAAGTTATACTTGTCGGACGTCACAACTATGTGTATCTTCTCCAAAGCCGATCGATATACTGTTAAGAAAACAGCCACCGGCAATAACTGCATCGTTCTTTGAACGAATGAAGTTCTTAATTGACGAAGGCAGCCTTCAAAATTATGCAAAAGAAGAAACATTCAACGAAAGGTACTTAATTTCTGTATGATATTTGCATTTCGTCATTTTAATGTCACGTTGATGTTTTACCTCTTCTTTCAAATTGTTTTTATAATTTTTGCATTGTTGTGCCCTCGTCCATACACTTCCCAAGTTTTTAATGTGTATTCGAATTTTACTACTTGTGATGTGTATGCATCCTTCTTCATGTTATTAACTTTAATTAATNCTTCAACGGAAAGTGAAAAAACGAATGGAAACGGACAAGTGGAAAAACAAATCGCAACAAAATTTTTACTTCATGTTTTACGGGTAGATTGTTAATGTACTTGTCCAATTTGAAAACCTGCCCGTAAAACTTCAAGTAAAGATTTTGTCCGGTTTTCAAATTAGACAAGTACATTAACAATCTGCCCGTAAAACTTGAAGTAAAAATTTTGTTGCGATTCATTTTCCCACTTGTCAGTTGAAATTTCACTTCTACTGTGTCTCAGCACACATCTTAGAGATAAGAAAACAACAGCTGAGCACAGCACACGCCACCGGGACTCTAATGGACTCCCGTTGCACTTTTTCTGCCGCCGCCAGCCTTTCTTTCACGGCAGTAACGAGTTTTCGTGACAGAAAAAATAGTAATACCCCGGCTATATAGAATTTTCACTTCAAAAATAAAATAGTTTACTATGAAAATTAAGGTTTTGAGGAAATAATAAGGGATTGTTTTACTTCGTAAAAGGCGACGTTCTTCAGAAAATAAACAACGAGTCTCATACAGATGAAAACAAAATAACATGGTCCTATTTATTTTATTCAAATTTTATGTTATTTTAATATATACGACTGTAGATATTGTAATTTAAAGTTGTCTGTACTGGGTAAAATTCATTCAAAAAATAATTCTTTAACATTGAATTAACGCTAAATAATTCAAAGTATCTCACACCCCAATCAGTTTGCATTTGGCAGTCGAATAAGTATTAAACGGTACATGTTTTTCGTAGATCACTCGAAGGCACCGTCAACACTGGACTATAAGTCGAACTCGTCCTGTAGTAGTCCTTCGAAAGAAATGAAAAATTCCGACAGATGCGGCCTCGCATACGGCACAGCTGTGCCTGTCTTACCCGTCCGAAACAATTTACGCCGCCCTAATTCCAGTCATTTCCCGCCAGCGAGTCGATTTCATTTCCAGAAAGGAATCGCCTCGAAATGCTCTTGGAAATGTACCGCTATAGTGTTTATAGTGCTTTCCGTTGTTCTCACTGCAGCCCTTTCGTATATTTCAGGTAAAATTTTACAAACTCATCATTTGTTTCTGAAATGAAACAGTTTCTTCAAATCATACAAGTATACAAAGTGTTCTAAAAATATTTTAAGAATAACATGTCCTTCCGTTTCTTTAAACATTTGCTTCTTTCATTCTTCATTTATTCAATCAACACAGGATTATTAAGTTATTAACAATTGAACATTAACGTGATTATTTTCTGCGAGTAAAACTGTAAAGCTAGATTCATCTAACTGAAAATTATTTTATACTTTTTAATTATTATTTACCCTATAGGCAATGATTTTATATGAAGAATCTTCATAGAATATTTTCAGAACATTTTGTATATTTTTCCTTCATTCGAATCTTTTATATACATGTATGTATGACTTTGATACATGACATACTCCCATTTGCTGTCTCAAAATTTTAATTACGATTCCTGAATTCCGTTTTGTTTCTTTCTGACGAACTTATGCAAAATGGCTACTTAGAAATTACAATTATTTGAAATATTGGAAAGTTCTAACATTTCTGCAACGATTCGATTTCCAGCTTCGAGTCTGTTAAGCTGGTCATATCAGAATTCCAAAGCTTGCACCGTGGTAGTTGGTGAGAACTCCGAAACCGCTCCCGCTTCGAAAGCGACCACATCGGAGACCAACCTCTCCACGTCCAGTAAGCCGCGAGTTTCATCAGGAGGTAATAATGTAGATGCTGCCTTTGTTAGAAAACGTAGACAGGTCGACAGTGTTCCGCATGTCAGTGTAAATTCTACCGCTAGTATCAGTAACAACTTAAGCACCAGCTTGGATGTTGCTGAAAAAAGTAACGAGCATGCAGTTTATGGGGAGTTTTCCAGTCATCCACCTTTGCATGATATCAATGTTAGTAGAATCAGTTTTTTGCCTGAAGATAGTAGGCGGGTTACTAATATATTCCCTAGTGGAACTCCCGAAAATTCTAGTTCCGTTTTCCTTCCCAATAAGCTTGTTAAAAGTTTCACTATTAGCTCCACCAACGATCCTTTGAGTTACACCAATGAAGATACTGACAAATTTTCAAATCCATCTACGGCTGTCGATACGGACTCGTTATCCACTACATATTCTTATATTTCAACGGAAGGCAATTATTTTAAGGAAACCGAAAACACATACAGTTCTGATGATTTAGAAACAGCTTTATTGAGCACAGATGAACCCAGAACAACAGACGTTTACCATGCTGAAGACAAAAACTCCAATGAACAGGAAATTATTATGGTTGATAAGGATAGCAGCTCACTAGAAGAAACCGAAGAAGAAAATGATATAAAATCTGAAGACGAAGATAAAAATAAATCTTATGAAGGACCGGATATACAACACGATTTTCCTTCAAAACTCGAATACATAGATATAATAGACGTTAATGAACAACCAATTTCCACCACATCGAAAACCAAAATTGTCTATAATATAACCGAAAATCTAAACATAACAAAAGACGAACAGAGAGGGTCTGAAGAAACTTCAAAAGAATTGACAGAGCAAAATCTTTCAGTCAAAAACAACATCTTCGAGAAATCATTGAAAGGCTTAGACATTACGTCTGGAAAAGTAACTTCAAACTTAACTAATTCCACCCAAATCGCTGCAGATTTGTTGGATCAACGCTTACTAAATCTTTCTAACGCAAGCTTTGCATCTGAGTTACCAACGACGAAACCTTTTTTCGAGAAATCTGCCACTGAACACCCTAAAAATGAAACAAAATTTTCTTCTTCTTTGGGTAATATCGAGCTTAATTCAGATATTCAATCCAAAGGCAATGAAAACGAAATATCTAGATCCAACGATGTTCCTCATATGACTATAACCGGAGCAATTCCAGCCAAAAGAGTTCTTGTAAACGTTACCATTTCTACAGATCCTGATTCGGTTAATCCCAATCCTAATTCCGTATATGTTTTGTCTGTATCTGTCCCTACCAACGGCGACAACGAACCCCCTAGCGTTAATATACTACCCCACGCTTCTTCTCAAGAACAACTACAACCAGCTGCACTAATTCGTCCCAGTAATAACAAAGAAACCGAACCAAGTCCTGTACCATCTCATGATACGTCACTTGTGCATGGTTTTTGGGGTGGCCAATGTCAGTGTTCTTGTCCATGTCTTGATGATCCCAAAAATTATACTGATTACGATTCTGATTACGATGACAAGGACGGAGGTGATGCTTTGCAAACGCAAAATGTCAAATCTTCGAGTAAAAACACTTACATAGTTACTCCAAATGTCACAGAAACCTCCTCAGAAACTCCTTCCGAATTATCTTCATCGGATTCAACAACTTCTTCCTGGACCACGGAAACAATGCAGGAATGTTTGGAGAGTAGTACAAAATTACCTCCACCACCTACCATTCTTGTACTGGAAGGTATGAATGGACTACATTACGAAAGCTTGGCAATTAACCACGTAAAATAAAGATCCTACGCGACGCCTTAAAATATTAACTCTAACTTGCATGGCTTCACGAAGAAAATGATTATCGGTAACAAATATTCTTCAGACACTTGAGGAAATATATGCTACGCAGATAATGAGGTAATGTGTTTAATGTTTATGGGACAAACAACTTTCAAATTTTAGATCGTTCTTGTAATTTCTTTAATTAGCATGATTCTTAGTACAATAAAGTTGCAGTAAAATAAATACTTATTTTAACAATCAAATAACACCTAGCAATATTAGTAGAGTGTAGAAATAAAGCGCTTTTGATATTACTAGTACCTACAAAAAATATTAAGCTTGCTTTTAATCCTGCATGTTTAACATATTGTATTAAAGCTGCTTCGCTCAATCTTTTCTCTACTTTCTAACTGACTCTTTTTTTCAACTAACGATTTTGCTGCCACTTCTCAGGGGCCCGAACATTTCCTGCGCAATCATTCCCGCCAGATGGCACAACATTCTCGCAGATCTCTCTTGGCCAACGCCTGTCTAAGGAAATTCCTCCCTACGGCTATTGGAACATGCAGTTCTATCAATCAGAAGCAGCATATGTGAAATTCGATTATAATATACCTCGAGGTGCAAGCATAGGCGTCTACGCGCGTCGCAATGCTTTGCCAACTCACACTCAATACCATATACTCGAGGTTCTTAATGGCTTCAAAGCTCGTACTGCTAGAGCTTCACATGTGAGTTGTTTCTTAATATAGAAATTAAAATCACAAAAGCGATGCATCTATTTAATTTGTTTAATTGTTATGGTACAAAGTCCCCACATTTATTAATTTAGTTAAAAATTAAAAGCCTGATATTTTCAGTGTTTATAAAATTTGAAAATCCAGTAAAAATAACGTGCTCTTATGACGGTAGAAACTTCGTAATCACTAATATAAATAAAGGAAAATATTTAAGAAGCATCTTACGTAAGTTATCATTTCGTTTAGCCCTCGGTTAGAAAAGAGGTTACTCATTATATGGAACAAGGACACTGGTTCTTGTCGCTGTACAACGACGACGGAGATCCCCAGGAGGTTGTGTTCGTGGCTAATGTGGCGGACGACATGACCCACAATTGCCCTAATGGTTGTAGCGGAAAAGGCGAATGCCTCATGGGACATTGCCAGTGCAACCCCGGTTTCGGAGGAGACGATTGCAGCGAAAGTAAGTTATGTACTACGAAGAAAACTTTTTCAAACAACTTCACGACAATGGCTTAAAACAAAAGTACAAGATATGAATTCGAATTTATCCGAATGTAGCATCTATCCAACTCTATTTTATGTTACCTCTCGAAGAAATCGGGTTCCTCAAACACTTTTCTCATTCCCTTGATGCAACGCACGACAGAGAGTACTCAGTGTGCAACAAAGTTCTCAGTATCACTTTCAATACATATTTGTTCACGTTTCATTCTCAAGAATCTTAGTATTGCAATGGATTCTTTTGTATGTACCTACATACTATTCATATTCCTACGTAATATAATAATAACTAATATTCAAAATCTTTACACTGTATTACTTGCGCAAACTAACTCACTGTAATCGCTTTTTGCTTGACGCATGACCTGTCTTTATGTTAGGTGTTTGCCCGGTGCTCTGCAGTCAAAGGGGTGACTATATAAACGGAGAATGCCAATGCAACCCCGGTTGGAAGGGAAAGGAATGTTCGCTAAGACATGACGAGTGCGAGGTGCCCGATTGTAATGGGCACGGGCATTGCGTTAACGGAAAATGCAATTGTGTGCGCGGCTATAAGGGAAACTTTTGTGAAGAGGGTAAGGATATGTTTGTATGCTTTTAAAAGTTGTTGCCAAATACACTCTTTGACTAACAATGTTCTTTGCAAGGTTTTTTTTTTTATTGTTAACGAAGTTGCATGAACAAATTAATATATTCGTTAAAAACTGTAAAAATTGTTATAAACATATAGGTACATCTACAGCGTTGAAATCTCGTATTATCACGAACAATTTAGCACACTGACGGATATTTATTAAATTTAGTATAATAAAATGACAATAATTACTAAAACATTGCTTAAACAGTTCAGATTAAACATCAAATATTTTTAATTACCTTCTTCTAAAAATGCAGCATTTATAATAATTACAGTTGAATTTTTAAATTCATATTACAAAACACGTAATTTAATTTTTTGAAATTTTGTAGAAACAGTAATTAGTTGCATGACTTGTCATTTAGTAAGTGTATATAAAAATAATATTTAATATGCATGCCAATTTTTCTTTATATTAAAAGTACCTTCGGATTTTTGTAACTTAACTTTAATAAACTGTGGAGTTATAATGAAAACCGAAATGCCTTTTATTAAATTTATCTAAGAATTTTCTTCCTAATTTCACAGTTGACTGTCCTCATCCTAATTGCTCGGGGCACGGTTTTTGCATCGAAGGAACTTGTTTTTGTAAAAAGGGTTGGAAAGGTAACGACTGTAGTGAAACTGATAAAGAGGCTCTCCAGTGTCTTCCTGATTGTTCGGGTCATGGAACATTTGACTTGGAAACTCAAACTTGTACATGTGAAGAGAGGTGGTCCGGTGACGACTGTTCCAAAGGTACCTTTAAAATTCTCAAATGTCTAATATAAATGTTTTTTTTTTTACTTCTCCATTTTTTTAGAATTATGCGATTTAGATTGTGGTTCACATGGCCGATGTATTTCGGACACTTGCCATTGTAGCCCAGGTTGGACAGGAGAATATTGCAATTTGAAGGAATGCGACACGAGATGCAATGACCATGGGCAATGTAAAAATGGCACTTGCCTTTGTGTCACCGGTTGGAACGGCAAACATTGCACCCTTGAAGGGTGTCCCAACAGTTGTTCTAACCACGGTCAATGTAAGTACAACAGCGAAGGCTCATGGGAATGTCGCTGCGAAAACGGATGGGATGGAGAGGACTGCAGTGTTTTATTAGAGCGGGACTGTGATGATGGTAGAGATAATGATAAAGGTCAAATAATTTTTATATTAATTCAGAGCATGAAGTGTGTTAACTTTTTTTTTATTGTTATTCATAGATGGTTTAGTTGACTGCGAAGATCCGGAGTGTTGTACAAGTTATACTTGTCGGACGTCACAACTATGTGTATCTTCTCCAAAGCCGATCGATATACTGTTAAGAAAACAGCCACCGGCAATAACTGCATCGTTCTTTGAACGAATGAAGTTCTTAATTGACGAAGGCAGCCTTCAAAATTATGCAAAAGAAGAAACATTCAACGAAAGGTACTTAATTTCTGTATGATATTTGCATTTCGTCATTTTAATGTCACGTTGATGTTTTACCTCTTCTTTCAAATTGTTTTTATAATTTTTGCATTGTTGTGCCCTCGTCCATACACTTCCCAAGTTTTTAATGTGTATTCGAATTTTACTACTTGTGATGTGTATGCATCCTTCTTCATGTTATTAACTTTAATTAATTAAAAAAAATCAATTACTTTCTAATGATAAGCTAGATTCAAGCACTTTAAAATACTATGCTTATTTAGATACTTACCTATTACCCTTATTGTAACTAACATTTGCGCTTTTCTTATTCTTGCTGCACAGTGTATTTTGGAATCACTTTAATACAAGGTAAGAAACCGTCTCAGCGTTGAATTTCACGATGCGAAATGCAGTTGAATGATAAACCAATTACCTACTTAATTTTTCACTGTTTACCGTTTACATTTCACTGCTCTTCGTGGCGTTTGAAGTAGTGGTTTTGTTTTCGTTATTCCACTTGTGTTTGTGAATATTTATGTTGCTTCATATTTTTTCTTATCTAGATTACAGTTTCAATTTTTCGTGTTATCATTAATTAAAACAAGACCTTTTGGGAATTCAAAGTTCTTTACTATTTTATTCGAATATTTTTTTTAGTTTAAGTGTAAACATAAATATTTAACGCAATTTTTCGCAAACAGTCGATCAGCGGTAGTTCGAGGTCGAGTATTAACTCAAATGGGCATGGGTCTGATGGGCGTTCGCGTCAGCACAACTACCCCTTTAGAAGGATTCACTTTAACCAGAGATGATGGTTGGTTTGACCTTTTGGTCAACGGGGGCGGAGCTGTTACTCTCAACTTCGGTCGCGCTCCATTTCAACCCAAACAGCACATAGTGTTTGTTCCTTGGAATGAAGTAGTTATTATTGATGACATAGTTATGGTAACCAACGAAGATGCCAATACATCACCCGTACCTCAAGCTTGTATAGCGCATAATTATGATACAATGAAGCCTGTTGTATTAGCCACATGGAAACATGGTTTCCAAGGGGCTTGTCCTGATAGAAGTGCAATTTTAGCAGAATCTCAGGTGGTTCAAGAAAGTTTGCAAATACCTGGAACTGGCTTAAATTTGGTTTACCAAAGCTCACGAGCAGCGGGTTATTTATCTACTATTCAGTTGCAATTGACACCAGAAAACATACCATCTACCTTGAAGCTAATACACCTACGAATCACAATAGAAGGAATCTTGTTCGAAAAAACCTTTGAAGCCGATCCCGGAATTAAATTTACATATGCTTGGAACAGATTAAATGTGTACAGGCAAAGAGTATACGGAGTAACGACGGCTATGATTAAAGTTGGTTATGAATACACTGACTGTAAGGACATAATTTGGGATGTGCAGTCTACCAAACTCAGTGGTCATGATATGAGTATCTCCGATGTAGGAGGTTGGAATTTGGATATTCATCATCGCTATAATTTCCACGAAGGTAAGAGTAATTTTAGGAATTCATAATTGTTTTTCTAATTTGACCATTTCGTTGATTTAGGAATTTTACAAAAAGGAGACGGTTCTAACATTTACCTAAAACATAAGCCTCGAGTTATTATCACCACGGTTGGCGATGGCCACCAACGACCACTCGATTGTAACGATTGCGATGGCCCCGCTCTTAAACAAAGACTTTTAGCTCCAGTCTCACTTGTATCAGCACCAGATGGCTCCATATTTATCGGAGACTTCAATTTAATTCGAAAAATTCAAACTGATGGTACAGTTCATACAGTTGTGAAACTTAAGTAAGTAGCTCTTTATTTTAAAAGTACATTTTATATTAATTTCTTTTGAATTTCTAGTGCCACTCGGGTCTCATATCGATATCACATGGCTCTAAGTCCTCTGGATGGAGTTTTGTACGTTTCGGATCCAGAATCGCACCAAATTTTAAAAGTTCGTAACACAAACGACTACAGTAATCCCGAGCACAACTGGGAAATTGCTGTTGGATCTGGAGAACGTTGTCTACCTGGCGATGAAGCCCATTGCGGTGATGGCGCACTAGCCAGAGATGCAAAACTGGCATATCCAAAAGGTGTGGCGGTTTCGGCTAACAATGTTCTTTATTTTGCCGATGGTACCAATATCCGTATGGTAGACAACGGCGTTATAACCACAGTAATTGGTAATCATATGCACAAATCTCACTGGAAGCCTATACCGTGTGAAGGAACCCTAAATTTGGAAGAAGTACACTTACGGTGGCCAACAGAACTTGCTATTAACCCTTTAGACAATTCGCTTTATATCATAGATGACCATATGATACTTCAGTTAGCTCCTGATGGGCGAATAAAAGTGGTAGCAGGAAGACCATTACATTGCGCACCTCCTGTGTTAGAGTTCGATATTGAGTTGGCCACTCATGCGACACTTGTAATGCCGCAAAGTATCGCATTTAGTGCAAACGGTGATCTCTATGTGGCTGAAAGCGACTCGCAAAGGATAAACAGAATTCGTGTGATAGGAACCGATGGAAAGGTAGCTTTATACGCAGGGGCCGAATCCAAGTGTAATTGTCTGGAACGGGGCTGTGATTGCTTCGAGGCTGATCATTACCTCGCTGCGAATTCTAAATTTAACACTATATCTTCCGTAACTGTGAGCCCGGATGGTATTGTGCATATTGCTGATCAAGCTAACTACCGCATCAGATCGGTAATGGCAAGTATCCCTGACGCCAGTAGCTCCAGGGAATACGAAATTTTCTCTCCAGAAACTCAAGAAATTTACATATTCAATCGATTCGGTCAACACGTCATGACGAAAAATATACTGACGAGAGAAACAAATTACCTGTTTACATACAACGTAAACACCAGCAACGGCAAACTAAGTACCGTTACAGATGCTGCAGGAAACAAGGTTTTCTTGCTGCGGGATTATTCTAGTCAAGTAAACTCCATCGAAAACACCAAAGGACAAAAATGCCGTTTACGCATGTCCCGAATGAGAATGCTTCAAGAATTAAACACGCCCGATAATTACAATGTTACTTTTGACTATCATGGTCCTACAGGACTTCTTAAAACTAAACTTGACAGTAGTGGTCGTAGCTACGTTTATAGTTATGACGAATTCGGTCGACTTACGTTTGCCGTCACACCAACTGGCAAAATAATTCGGTTGTCCTTTGATCTAAGCCTAAAAGGTGCCATGGTTATGGTCCGTCAAAATAACAAGCAACCAATATCAATGTTAATAAAGGGTTCAAGTGTTGTAACCAAAATTGGTGAATCAGAACATAAGAGCATATTGTTGGCGGATGGTAGTGTTACTTCTATAGCTCCTTGGTCTCATAGTACTAGTACCGATACTGTACCTTATTCCATCCTTGCTGAAATCAATCCATTACTAGGGGAAAGTTGTCCAGTTCCCGCTAAACAAAGAACGGAAATTGGTGGAGAGTTAGCCAATCGTTTTGAATGGCGCTACTTCTTAAGAAGATTACAAGTGACTAAAGGGAAAATTTCAACTACTTCTAAAACTATTACACATGTAGGCCGCAAACTAAGAGTTAATGGGGAAAACTTACTTACAATGGAATATGATCGTGAGCAGAAGTCTGTCTCTGTCTTTATGGATGACAGAGTAGAACTTCTTAACGTTACTTATGACCACAGTTCAAGACCAATCAAATGGGGACCCAGCAATGGAATTTTCGCTGATGTAGAACTAGAGTACGACAGGTTCAGTAGATTAACAAGCTGGAAGTGGGGAGATTTAAGTGAAACTTATGGATTTGATCGAGCTGGAAGACTCTATGAAATTAAATATGCCGATGGCTCGTCAATGGTCTACGCGTTTAAAGATATGTTCAGTACCCTGGTAAGTTTTAGTTATTTATACATTTACTGTACATAATACTATACATGAATAAAAAGCATTTTATAACTTTCACAATGTTTATTAAATGAACTTAATATCGTTTCTTCAGAAGTTATAATAAAAAAGTTTAACTCTTAAGCAAGTTTATTGTCAATTTTGAAGAAGTTACAGTGTGGCGAAACAATATTGTTAAATTAATGTAATGATAGCTGTGAAATTCATAAACTGTTTTTTATTTCCATATACTAATACGAAATTTCATCAAGTAAAAGTGGTTGTTACTAAATTACACTTATCTCTTGCAGCCCTTAAAAGTTACAACACCTAGAGGTTCTGATTATCTACTCCAGTACGATGAAGCAGGAGCTTTACAAAGTTTAACAACTCCTCGGGGTCACATTCATACATTTGCACTACAAACTTCCTTTGGATTTTTCAAATACCAGTACTATTCTCCAATGACGAGGCATCCATTTGAAATAATTTACAACGACGACGGTCAAATTCTAGCTAAAGTTTATCCACACCAGTCTGGGCGAGTTGCTTATGTTTATGATTATGCCGGTAAACTTGAAACAATTTTGGGAGGACTACATTCTATACATTATACTTACCACGACTCATCCAGTCTTGTAAAAAGCATCGAAATTATAGAGTCTAACTTCCAATTAAAACAAGAGTTTAAGTATCATTTAGGTATTGTTAAAGAAGAAAAGGTAAAATTTCTCGGCAAGAACAGTTTAGACAATGCTAAATACAAGTATCAGTATGATGGAAATGCAAGATTGTCTACAATTGAAGTAGATATTGCTGGCAAACAGATGCCTCAGTTGTTACTGAAATATAATCAAAACTTTGGAGTTTTAGAGGCTGTCAGTGATCTTAGAATATACAGAAATACATTTAATAGATCAGTAATGCAAGATAAAAGTAAACAATTCTTTATGATAACAGATTTTGATAATCATGGCCGTATTAAATCCCTGTTGATGAACATCAAAACCTTCGACGTTTTCCGATTAAAATTAGACTATGATACAAGAAATCGAATAAAAACACAAGAACTTCTTGTTGGAAGAACCACTTCTAATGATAGAATTGAATATAACGCTGATGGGCACGTACTGGAAATTGCGGGAACGAATAATTGGAAGTACGTCTACGACGAGAATGGAAATGTTATAGGCGTTATAAGAGAAAAAGATAAAATATCGTTGGGTTACGATAGCGGTGACCGCGTTGTTCAATATGGTGATGTGGAGTTTAATAGTTACGATAACAGAGGCTTTGTCGTGAGAAGGGGTGAGCAAAAGTATCGCTACAATTCTCACGGCCAATTGATTCATGCATTCGAAAGAGATAAGTTTCAAATTTGGTATCATTATGATGATCGTGGGCGCCTTATTTCGTGGAATGACGATAAAGAAAATGTCACGCAATACTTTTATGCTAATCCGTCGCGTCCAAATCTGGTCACGCATCTTCACTTTCCCAAATCAGGTAGAACCTTTCGTTTTCTTTACGATCAGCACGATACGATTATAACTGTTGAGACTTCTGAACAAAGATTTTATGTGGCTGCCGACCAAAATGGCTCACCATTAGCTCTCTTTGATATAAATGGCAATTTAATAAAAGAAATACGAAGAACACCATTTGGTTCAACGATAATGGATACCAATCCTGATTTCTATTTACCAGTCGATTTTCATGGTGGAATTCTGGATCCTAATACAAAATTAATTTATTTGAATAAACGGCTCTATGATCCCATTGTTGGACAATGGATGACTCCCGTATGGGAAAAACTGGCTACAAAGCTATTCACACCAACAGATATCTTTGTTTATAGATTCGAAAATAATGACCCCATAAATTCTAATGTACGAGTTCCATATATGACAGACCTCAATAGCTGGCTTAAACTATATGGATATAGTGTCAAGAATATGATGGGTTTAGAATATATTAAATCGAACGTCTATCAACCCAAAGCAACTATAACATCACCCCAATTAGCTCCTGATTTCGGAGTCATGTCTGGCTTAGAATGTATTGTAGAAAAGGTAGCTAAATGATATATTATTTAAGGTTTATGAATTAAAAAAATTATTCTGCTTTACTTTCAGATTAACGAAAAGTTCTCTGACCTCGGTTTCGTACCAAAACCGCTACTTAAAATGGAACCAAAAACAAGAAACCTTCTTCCCAGGGTTGCTTACCGTAAATCTGTATTTGGAGAAGGAGTATTGATTTCCAGAGTTGAAGGTAGGACTTTAGTAAGTGTTGTGGATGGAGTAAACAGAGTAGTACAAGATGTGGTCACCTCTGTATTCAACAATTCTTTCTTTTTGAATCTGCATTTTACAATTCATGATCAAGATGTCTTCTACTTTGTGAAAGACAACGTTCTAAAGATTCGTGATGATTTGGAAGAGCTTCGAAGACTCGGTGGCATGTTTAACGTTTCAACCCATGAAATAACGGACCACGGAACGCCAGCTGGAAAAGAACTGAGATTACATAATCCAGATGCGGTAGTAATAGTAAAATATGGAGTGGATCCCGAGCAAGAGACGCACAAAATTTTGAAGCATGCCCACAAAAGAGCTGTTGAAAGAGCATGGGAAATGGAAAAGCAACTAGTAGCAGCCGGTTTCCAAGGAAGAGGTGACTGGACTGAAGAAGAAAAAGAGGAACTTATTTCCCACGGTGATATTGACGGCTATGAAGGTGTCGACATTCATAGTATCCACAAATATCCTCAATTGGCGGATGATCCAGGAAATATTGTATTTCAAAGGGATACAAAACGGAAAAGGCGGAAGAGTGGTATGAAACGTGGACGATTTCACAGGCACGACTCGTGACTCCAAGGTTCAAGTTAGACAAAAATCAATTTACTCGAGGAAAGTATAATTTATGTGCCATAAATCGACAAACATCTAAGTCCTAGTCGTTGTTAGAGTAATTTTCTATTTTTAATGGCGTATTTTTAATAATGGCGGTGTTTAATATATTTTGTTACGTTCCCAAAATAAGGACCGTGTCTACTTGTGTGTCTTTCTTGTGGAAGAAAAATAAAAGAGCCTATGTGGTCTAATACAACGTGCACAAAAGACCAAAACTTAGATGTCCATATTAAAATATTCTGTCAAGACGACTGTGAATGTATTAATTAATGAGGGAAGTAGATTAACATGGACTGAGTTAAAATTTACATTCCCTTAGAGCCGATGACTGACTTCAAACGTTTTTACGGATATACATAGAATCCATGACATTATGTAGTATAAAAATGTAAATATTGGTAACTTAGTTGGACAAATCCTCTATGGTGCTTGTCTACCGCTACCTTCCTTAGTTAGAACTGGACTGCCGAAACTGCGAAAGTCCATTAATCATTAGAATAGCATACTTTAGGTATAAATCGTAACACATTACTTCACAATATCATAACCAACAGTACTTACCGTTTAGTTTCACTATACTTTATATAATTGCTATTAGGTACAGCTGTCCGTAATGACAAATAGATTTAAAGCCTGGAGAAAAACTTCATTACTTTAGAATGAACATAAAACAAGTACACAAAACGCTGATAACAATAATATTTGCAATAATCAAACTTAATATTGATTTTACTTAAATTAGCACCCTTATATTGTTTAGTAGCAACATTTCGACTTCATTTTTTTTTTCAAAATCAAAATATTACACTTCATATTTTATATATTTTTTTTTTATTTCAGCTTTCAATGCTGAAAAAAATTAATCCAGAAGTAAATATATTATTACGATACTTTTAAAACGTAAATATTTGATTATCATTTTAATATATTTTCAAGGTGTTATTCTAAAGATATTGAGACAGATATTTCCAGCTGTAATACTCGATTTTTGTAGTGTTTCATCTTAAAAATGGTATGTTTTTTAAGAAAACGCATTCACTAGAAACAAACTAGATAAGTTAAGGCAAATGTCGCCAAAATAAAGAAAAGTGATATTTTTTCAAATGTGACTAATACTGAAAGCAATACTTTGTATCTTTTATATTTTTAATTATCAGTTTACGTACCTTTGTTTTTATATGTGCAATTGTTGTGTGGTTGTTGGCAACCAGCACTGGTACATTACAAATCATTATCGTAATTGTGGCTATAAATATAATTATCAATGTAAATATAAATTAATTGTGTATATTGTTTTTGATATGTAAATATATTTTGTTCTATTATATAAATATACTCCTTTATTAATTACAGGATTATTAAATATTGTTGGAAAATTTAGTTTAAAATTGTCCACAATTATAAATAATCCACGAGGTATAAATTTTTAATTACAGCAACAGATTTTTTTTTTAGTAATCATAAATATTAGTTACTCTTCTACGTTAGTAGTAATGCATATTTTGCCAATACAGCAAATGATAAATAATTTTATTGATAAAACGTTTTCTTTTAAGTTTAATTTTTTATTTATACCTCGTTAACGTTAGTTATAGAGCAGTTATTTGGATTCACCCTACGTAAAATTAATAATGTAGTTTCACTTAAATGGTGTCAACGATTTTTAATCATTTAAATTTTGTACAAAATTAATTTACATACAAAACGTATACAATAATTTACAATGACAGAAATAATGTAAAAGAATCTTATTTCTATCCTGAAGATCACATCAATTTTTCTAATTTCCATGCAGTCATCCAATTTATTAAAGGGACACTCTAAAATTGCCCAAGTACCACTCAAAATAAGTAACAATAAGAATTGTACTGAGGCAAGATTCTAATAAAATTAATGTAATTTTAAATGTCCTTCATTCGAGAAAGGTAATGCAGATTTGTAAATAAATATGAGTAATGTTAGATGTTTTTAGTATTGGAAATCCTATGAGGATACTGACTAAAACAAATTACAATTTAGATAATAATCAGTCAAATTAAACAGAGTTAATATAACAACTGCATGAAATACAAGGAACACTTAAAATTACACTAATTGCTCATTACTGCTGGCTGATATATCTAATAGCCGCCAAGCAGCTCTAGAGTCAGGTTCAGAAGAATCCCTACAAAGAACCCAAACATAATTTACCCGCATTATTTTATTTGGATCACCTTCCACTATATTGTTGTCTTTATCCCTCACACACATGATCTGCTGAGCTATAAAAGTGATCACTAATACTGGCCCTTGTTCCATCACTTTTCCCATAACCAAATCGACGTTATCTATGTCTAATATTTTTGAATCAATTTTGTAGCCTCTTTGTTTTGCCTCCTGTATGGGAATTGCGAAAATATTATATGGACCTTCATGACACCAATCTTTTAAGATTTCCAAATCTCCATGTGTCATTGCTTCCAGTATGTTAGGGATTATATCAGTCTCACATTGTTTGAGAAACTTCTTTTGTTCAAAACTGTTATCAATTTTGCAGATCTCAGTTAAAGTTTCAGATAACTCGGTCTTTTGAAACAAACCTCCTACAATATCAGTTATTTTGTCAGTTAATGCCCTTGAAGCACGAATGACAGGATTGTTGCTTTCATCATATCTCAATTTCCAATCCATTACTTTGTGTACATAAGGGTTGTTTTCCTTGAAGTTTTGCCAAGACTGGTAAAACCTTGAATCCTTATGTAGTTCCATTCCTGTTGTTTTTGTATCAGGTTCATAAAATTTTGCAGCTTGAACACCTACAGTTTCTTTTCTTTTTCTTAATTTATCAGGACTTTGATACACTCTTCCTATAAACAAATAAATAAAGAATGAATTTATCCCTTTTGGTTAAGGAACAAATATAATGTTCTTACCATGCATACTGCTGGTATCTATTTCTTTTCTAACAGCTTCAGTAGCTTGAGATATACTCTTAAAGGCTGAACTTTTTCCTATTTCAGAAGCTTTTTCGGATATTCCTGACACATTTTTAGATAAATCTTCAGTAAGTTTGCCAGCCTTTTTTACAAACTCTGTTTCTCCAGCTTCTTTAATTACATCTTTCACTTTGCCTCTTATAGAGCCTAGTCTTTCTTTTAAAACTTCACTGCCTACAAAATATTATCAATACAGTGGTGAAATAATAAAAACAATAATACAACACTACTTTTGGAAGCTTCTTTTTCAACAGTTTCAAATTTTTGACGGGCTGCTTTAAGAGCATCACTTTGTTCCAATTTTTCTGCTTCATCTCTAAATTTTTTTAAAGATTCTTTCAATTCCTTATTCTTAGCCATTTCTTCTCTGAAATTGTCATAAAGCCGGGATAGGAAGGAAGTTTTCCTAACTTCTTTTGAATAAAATCTAACCTATAAAAACATAAGTTTCGTATTAACTAACAATGCAATGGCATACTTTAAATTACTTACTCCATAATTAAACTCATTTGATAATCGCAATGTTCCACTAAACTGTCGTATGCAATAAATAGGAATGAACAGTCTTTGGCAGTGGTGCTGAAAATTAACACGTTGTTACGTACATAACCTTACATAGCAAGTTTGAAGAATAAATTCAGTATGTTCAATTGAAAAACTCTTCAGCTTGAGATATACCTCTTACCATTTTAAAACTATTTTAGAGTTTAAAGCTAAAATAAAAAGTTTAAATTTTAATAAAGTGACATCTCTTTCAAATAAAAAAATTACACCACCATGATACGTCACTTTTACATAGAACATTATTATGTTATCTATGATTAGCGTATTATCCAGAGTATTATCGTGTCAGCCAGCGTCAGTCAGTGCATAGATAAGTTAGTGTTAGTTCATAGAGTTTGTTGTTGATAAGATTTTATTTTAAAAATAACTATTATGAAAATAACGCCACTCGCCATTTTAACACTGTCGAGAGTTGTTTTTCGGTGCTTTCAGTGCGCTTTTTCATTCCAGTTGATGTTTATGTGATAGTGTAGGTATTTAATTTTTATTGTTCACTTTTACAGATTAATAATAATAGGCAAAAGAGAGAAGATTGACGTTCATTTTCAATTCGCTTTGCTGCTAATCTATTTTAAAAGTGACCACCCCGTCATCATTGTAATATTTAGTTCATTTTACTTGCCTTTCATTGCGCATTTTCATTTTATTTTAGTTGTTTATTGACTTTGTTTGCTTTTGAATTTTTACATAGAACGATTTTGCTATTAATCAAGGTAAGAATACCGGCCGTAATATATTTTATTGGTTTGTCATTAATTTAACATGCTATGCATATTTTTTTACTAGGAAAGCTAAATTATATTTTTATAGTCATTTCATTTTATAGGAACACTTTGGATGTCGTGTTTTAGTCTTATTATACTTGATACCAGTACATGGTGATAACTGAAGGAAGCAAAAAGGTGCCTTTTTTCGACTAAAAACAAAGGCAGTATGTTGTAATTAGTAAAAAAAGGATTTATGATGATTGTTTGGTTAGTGACAACATTACGTTAAAAACAATATGTGTGAAGTTTTGACCCATCTCTTAGACATTTCTAATCTACATTTTTAGTTGAAAGTCAACTTTTACATGTCAGCTTTGTTATCCTTAATACATACTATGCATAAATTTTGACTCTAATTTAAAAAGAAATGTTTGTTTATTTCCCTTACTGATGAAACATTTTCATTCACTTGTATGTATATCTTCCTTTAACATTTTACTGTTTAACTTGGTTTTAACTGCTTTTTCTTTAATTTGATATCTTATTTGTTTAATACTATGGCTAATTTGTTTTTTTTTGCTCATTTTTACAGATTGGACAACAAATTAGAGAGAGGCTGATCATACTGAAACAACCAATGTCTACAATAGAATCATATCTAAATTCCACTGAAACAAGAAGTTGTCTGCTATTGTATTCCTCCTGGATTTGGTTTCCTTTTTACATTTACCAACTTTGGAATGTTACAGTCTGTTGTTCATTAAGTTGAGAATGTTTGATATAATTAAAATCAATTGCTCTTTATTAATCTGTTACCACTGTATCTGTTTCAGATCAACATTGGAGAAGATAGAAGATCCCATAGTTAAAATATTTCTCTATTTTGTGTTTTTTTGTAGTGTATTTTATTTGAATTAATTTTAGTTTGTATAGGTTATTATTTTTTTTGTAGTAGTGTACTAACATATTTTTCTTGTAGTAGTTAAATAGTAGTCTAACATGTCTCTTGCTTGCCTCTTCGCTTAGCTTACTGCATATTCTTCCTATTTTGCTTTGCATTTACCCTACGAGTTCTACATGATTCAACGTTTCGTTATCGTGTTTTTTCTCTTCTCACCCTTGTGGAATTAGGAAGGGCCTCCCCGAACGACTTCCCTTGGGCTTAGCTATTTAGTTGATCTTAAAAGTGTCTTATACACTTTTCGCGAGTCTACTCTAGCGTTACTTCCTTTCAGACAGGGTACAGTGGGTTATCTGGAATAGGAGCAATAGGCGACTGCCCAGCTTGCCTTGGCGAAATCTGTCCGATCTTCTCTACCAAA